TAAATGGCTGCTGGATTTTGTCAAATGCTTTTTCTGCATTTATTGATATGATCATATGATTTTTATTTTTCATTTTGTTAATGTGATGTATTACTTTAATTGATTTGTGAATATTGAACCAACCGTGCATGCCAGGAATGAATCCCACTTGATCGTGGTGTGTGATCTTTTTCTTTTTTTTTTTTAAAGATTTTATTGGGGAATTGGGGGAGGGGAACAGTGTTGGGGAATTGGAGAAGGGGAACAGCCAAGTTGTTATCCTTCAATCTTAGTTGTAGAGAGCACATCTAGCTCAGTTCCAATTCAAGTCCATTCTCCATCCGGACACCTGTTGGCAGCTCGTGGCCGCTCAGCTCAAGGTGCCATATTCAGTCTTAGTTGCGGATGGGCGTAGCCCACCATCCCATGTGGGTGTCGAACCAGAAACCTTGTTGCTAAGAATGCATGCTCTAATCACTGAGCAATCCGGCCACCCAGCCACAGCTCAGGGCACCTCAGCTAGGGCACAGCTCACTGACCCATGTGGGAATTGAACTGGTGACCCGTTGCTCAGAGCTCATGTTCTTAACCAACTGAGCCACTCAGCCGGCCCCAATGATCTTTTTAATGTGTTGCTGAATCGGTTTGCTAGTATTTTGTTGAGGTTTTTTGCGTCTGTGTTTGTTAGGGATATCGGCCTGCAGTTTTCTTTTTTTGTAATATCTTTGTCTGATTTTGGCATCAGAGTAATAGTGGCCTCATAAAATGTGCTTGGAAGCCTTCCTTTCTTCTGTATTTTTTTTAATAGTTTGAGGAGAATAGGTATTAATTCTTTTTTGAATGTTTTGTAAAATTCACCTGTGAAATCATCTGGTCCAGGTCTTCTGTTTGTTGGAAGCTTGTTGATTACTGATTCAATTTCTTTGATAGTAATCAGTCTGTTCAGACTTTCTGTTTCTTCTTGGTTCAGACTTAGAAGATTGTATGCTTTTAGAAATTTATCCATTTCTACCAGATTGTCTAATTTGTTGGCATATAGTTGCTCATAGTATTTTCTTAAAATTTTCTGTATTTCTGTGGTTTCTGTTGTCACTTCTCTTTCTCATTTTATTAATTTGATTCTTCTCTCTCTCTTTCTTGGTGAGCCTGGCTAAGGGTTTGTTGATTTTGTTTATCTTTTCAAAAAAGCAGCTCTTGGTTTCATTGATCTTTTGTATTGTTTTTTTGGTCTCTTTCATTTATTTCTGCTCTGATCTTTATTATTCCCCTCCTTATACTCCCTTTGGGCTTGTTTTGCTGTTCTCTTTCCAATTTCCTTAGGTGTAAATGATAGCCTGTTGATTTGAGATTTTTCTTTTTTCTTTAGATAGGCCTGCATTGCTAAGAATTTCTCTCTTAGGACTGCTTTTGCTGCATCCCCTAGATTTTGGGTTGTTCTGTTTTCGTTTTCGTTTGTCTCAAGGTATCTTTTGATTTCCTCCTTGATCTCATTTTTGACCCACTCACTGTTTAATAGCATGTTATTCAGCCTCGATGTATTTGTGTGCTTTCCAGGTTTCTTATAATTAATTTCTAGTTTCATAGCATTGTGGTCTGAGAAGATGCTTGATATGATTTCAGTCTTCTTAAATTTAGTGAGACTTGTTTTGTGGCCTAACATGTGGTCTGTCTTGGAAAATGTTCCAGGTGCATTTGAGAAGAGTGTGTATTCTGATGCTATGGGGTGAAATGCTCTAAAAATACCAATTAAATCCAACTGGTCTGAAGTGTCATTTAAGGCCACTGTTTCATGTTGATTTTCTGTCTGGAGGATCTGTCCATTGGTGACAACGGGGTGTTGAAGTCCCTTCTACAATAATGCTACTGTTGATTTCCAACTTTATGTTGGTCATAAACTGTTTTACATATTTAGGAGCTCCTGTGTTGAGTGCATAGATGTTTACTAGGGTTATGTCCTCTTGTTGGATCTATCCCTTTATTATTATGTAGTGCCCTTCTTTGTCCTTTATTGTAGTCTTCATTTTAAAGTCTATTTTGTCCGAAATAAATATTGCTACTCCAGATTTTTTCTCATTTCCATTTGTGTGAACTAGTTATTCCATCCCTTGACTTTCAGTCTGTGTGTCTTTTGATCTGAGATGAGTCTCTTGTAAACAGTATATGCATGGGTCCTGTTTTCTTATCCACTCAGCCACTCTATGTCTTTTGATTGAAGCATTTAGCACATTCACATTTAAAGTGATTGTTGATAGGTGCATATTTATTGCCATTTTGTTATTCATATTTCTGGTCTTCCTTAGCTTGTTTTCCCCTTTCTTCTGTTTAAAAAAGCCCTTTTAGCATTGCCTGCAATGCTGGCTTGGTGGTAATGAATTCCTTAAGCTTATTCTTTTCTGAGAAGCTCTTTCTCTCTCCTTCAATTTTAAGTGATAGCATTTCTGGGCAGAGCAATCTTGATTGTAGGCCTTTGTTTTTTATCACTTTGAATATTTCCTGGCATGCGGAGTTTCTGTATAATAGTTAGCTGTTAGTCTTACAGGAGTTCCTTTGTATGTAATCTGCTGTCTTTCTGTTGCTGCTTTTAGGAGCAAAGTTTCTTAATTCACTTGATTCTAGTAGTTGTTTGTTAATGTTAAAAATCCTAAGGAATCTACAATCATCAAATCTATTAATAGAGCTTTTTACATCCTTCTTTTAGTATTTCTACCTTATATTTTCTTACTTTGAGCAACAGCAGACATCTTACTTTGTAATAAGGTCTTAGGGGGAAAATGTTCAATTAAGTACCATCAAGTATGAAGCTAACTACAGAGTTTTTTAGTGTGCTTTTTAACAGATTGAAGGAGTTTCTCTTTATTTCCAGCTTGCTAAGAGTTTTACCATTAATTGGTGTTGATCTTTGTCAAATGATTTCCTGCATCTTGAAAAGATAGTGTTTTCTTTCTTCATTCTTTTAATATGGTTGATTAATTTTTGAATGTTAAAAAATCTTATATTTCAGGGATAAATCACTGTGGTCATATTTTATCGTCCTATATACATATGACTCAATTTGGTTTGCTAATATGTTGAAAGAATTTTTTGTGTCTTTCTAATAGATATTCTGTAACTTTTTTCTGTTGTAGTGTCTTTCAGGTTTTGTTATCAGAGTTCTGCTGTATCATAGAATAATTGGAAACTATTCTGTCCTCTATTTTCTGAAAGAGTATATATAAGAATGATATTACTTCTTCCTTAAATGTTTGATAGAATTTATAAATTAAGCAATCTGAACTTGTGGTCTTTGCGAAAGGGCTTTTAATGAAAATGTAATTTCTTTAATGGTCATAGAGTTTCTCAGATTTTCTATTTCATCTAGTGTTGGTTTGGTAAATTATTCTCAAGGTGTGTGTTTATTTCATTTAAGTTGATGTGTTTATTGCCTCATAATATTCTTTTTATTGCCCCTTTAGCGACTGTAGGAACTGTAGTGATATTTCCTTTTTCATTCCTGATACTGGTAATTTGTGTTTTCTCTCATTTTTCTTGTTCACTCTTGCTAGAGGGTCATCACTTTTATCAATCTTTTCAAATACCCTCTATTAGCTTTCCATACTGTTAGTTCTACATCTCGGTTCTTTATTTCTTTGCTTATACATACGTTGGATTTAAGTTGCTCTTGTTTTTCTAGCCTTTTAAGGTTAAATCTTAGATGATTGATTTTAAACCTTTCTTCATTTGTAATATAAGCCTTTAAAATGTAAATTTCCCTATAAGCACTGGTTTAGATGTGTTCCCAAAAGTTGATCAGTTATATTTCTGTTATTATTCAGTTTGAAATAATTTTCTACTTTTCCTAGTGATTTCTTCCTTGACTCATGTTATTTAGAAGTGTGTTGTTTAATTTCCAAATATTTAAGGCTTTTCTAGATTTCTTGTGACTAATTTCTAGTTTAATTTCCTTGTGGTTAGAGAACATATTCCATGAGATTTCAGTCTTTTAATATTTTTTGATACTTATTTTATTGCTCCTCATGTTTTACTGTGGTGAGTATTCCATGTGTACTTGCAAAGAATGTGTGTTCTGTAGTTTTGACAGGCATGTTCTGTACATGTCAATTATATCAAGCTGGTTAATAGTGTTATTCAGATCTCTTTTATATTTTTACTGATATTTTTGTTTACTTTCACTTATTGGGAGACTGGTGTTAAGATTTACAACAGTGATTATGGATTGGTGGATTTCTACCTTTGATTCTGTTTTGCTTCATGTATATTAAAACTCTGTTTTAGCTATATACACTTTTATGTATGTCTTTCTGATGAATTGACACTTATAATTATGAAATATCTCTTTTTTTATCTTTGGTAATACCTTTTGTCTTAAATTTTTTTTTTACATTAACACAACCACCCCACCTTCCTTTACTTACTATTTGCATGAGTTTTTTTACATCATTTTACATTTAATCTATTGTGTCTATTTAAAATTTTTCTTGTAATTAGAATATATGTGAGCCTTGCTTTTTTATCCAGTCTGATAGTCTCAGTTTTTTTAATTGTGTGTGTTTAGACCCTTTGCCTTTTATGTGTATTTTGATATGGTTTTTTTAGGTCTGTCATGCTATTTTTCATTTATCCTATGTATTTTTTTGTTCCTTTTTCTTTACTGCATTTTTTGGGTTGATCAAATAATGTTTCTAATATTTGATTTTAATCACTGTATTGTCATTTTAATTTTTGTTGTTGCTGTAGGATAAGAAATATTCATCCTTAATTTATCACAGTCTACTTAGTGTTAATATTTTACCACTTTACATGCTATGTATATATTTATATAATTTTAATATATACTTATACATTTTCTCTTCATCTTTTGAAATAATTCCTGTTTGACTAAAGATAAGCATGCATGTTTCAGAAGTGAAAATGAAAATTCAGAACATTGTTTACATCTCACATCTGTTTCAACACCAAGAACTTAAAAGAAAACAAATGATGGAAATTACATTATATATGCCTATTTGTTTTCTTTATACAAGGCTTGAAGCTGCAAAAGATGATTACCGTGTTCACTGTGAAGAACTTGAAAAACAACTAATTGAATTTCAGCATAGGAATGATGAATTGACTGGTCTTGCTGAGGAAACAAGAGCCCTGAAAGATGAAATAGACGTTCTTAGGTATGGCTGTCTAAACACAGTTGTCATTTCCAGGTTATCATTTCAGCATTCCATATTTTAATCATAGATTCTTAAAGTTATCCCTATGTATCATGTATTAATCAGTTTTTACCCAGGCTCCTAGTCTTTACTTCTTTTATGCTTGTTGATAATAATTGCAGTTTAAGGATAATATTCAGTCTTGTTAGAACAATTTCTAAAATAATACCTTTTTCTTAAAAATTTGTAAGCTGAATACTTTTCGATACATTTAGCTTGACTTCCTTGTACTCATTAGTTTATCCTGTGAAATTTTTATGTGAAGAAATGTGTTTTCTCAAGCCATATTTTGACATTTGATAAAATATAGCTAAATATAGATAAGAATCCTGACATTTATTTTAGGGTCATCCCACAGTTCTCTTATTGTATTTGACAATATAAAATTTATATTTAGCTTTTGCCTATGAAATATTACTCAAGCAAATAGACTGTCCACATGCTTCTTATATTTCCTGTTAAATTTTCTTAATTAGCCATTTAGTTACACAGTTTTTCATGTTCATTTGAAACTATCTTTATAACCATTAATTTGAACATGCATGTTATAGTGCAGTGATTTGGTTTGTGTATTTATTTATTGTTGCTCTAGCCCAGTTAGTCAAGTAAGCACAACTGTAAAGGGAAGTGCTTTGCCAGATAAATTATAAGTTGAATCAACTTCTAAGCATATCAGATACTTGGAGCAAAACTATATGACATATTATGCCCAAAGCACAATTGACCCATAAGCTACAGAGAAGCTCAGAATTGTTCAATTATGTTTAAAAACCATTCTTTTTTATACATTGTGGTAATATATAAAACAGTTTGATAATTTAGTGTGTCACATTTAAAGCATTTTTATTTATTTTGATACCTTTATAACAAAAAAGCTGAACTTTAGTCAGTTTTAGGCCTGAATTTATTTCCAAAGCTCTCAAAAAGTTTATGATTTCTCTGTTTTCTTTTTAAAGATTTTATTGGGGAATTGGGGGAGGGGAACAGCGTTGGGGCATCGGGGAAGGGGAACAGACAAGTTTCTGTCCTTTTGTTCTTCAGTCTAGTTGTGGAGGACATCGCTTCACTGGCCCATGTTGGTATTAATTGCGCTCTTCCCGGGTGAGGCAGATAGGTCACTGGCCATTGGACGGCTGCTTATGGTGGCTCACAGCAGGTCACGCCGGCTGCCAGCCGCTCACACTGGCTGCCAGCCACTCACAGTAGCTCACGGCAGCCCACTGCAGCACCACTGCAGCCTACGCCGTCACCAGCGGCTCACGGCAGCCCAGCTCCAGGTCGAGCTGTTGTTCACCATCTTAGCTGTGGAGGGTGCAGCATCACTGGCCCTCATGTGGGATCCGAACCAGGGCCCTGCTGCTTAGAGCTGGCGTCCCAAGCCAATTCCTAACCAACGCGCCACTCGGCTGGCCCTTTTTTCTTTTCTTTTTGCCAATAGATAGTTTATTTGGAAGACTCATTTTACAGTCAGAATAAAATTATGTGCATTCACTGGTTTTTATGCAGTAATGTTTGATCTTTATTATTATAGGGCTACCTCTGATAAAGCAAATAAACTGGAATCAACAGTTGAGATATATCGTCAGAAGCTACAAGATCTGAATGACCTTCGGAAGCAGGTGAAAACTTTACAGGAAACTAACATGATGTATATGCATAATACAGTCAGCTTAGAAGAAGAATTAAAGAAGGCAAATGCAGCACGTACACAATTAGAGACATACAAGAGACAGGTAAGAAAATCTTAATTTTTTAATCATTAAAATTGAAAGACCTCAACTTTGTTATTTCATTTGATGCTTTAAGAATGGCATAGAAGAAACCTTGACTTAGTCAGCTGTGAACTTATGATAAATTTCCTCTGTCAGTTTAATTCAATGGTTGATAATTGACTGTGTAATCTAGGTTTTTATATTTTTATTGGCTTCTGAGCTTATATATTTTGAGGGACATTTCATTATTTATTAGCATTTCTGGTAACCAGTTATGTTGGGTTGTCAGAAAAGTCATGATGTATTTTTTCTATGTTTTTCGTTGCAAAAATGCGTCATGACTTTTCCAACAACCCAATAAATGCCTGTTTTAGGAGCTATAACCTAAAATATTCTGTTTTGTTATTTATCAAACAGCCTAGAGAAAAACCAGTGTAGAAGGCTGATTGTTTATATTTGGCTCAATTTTTACTTGTGTATTTTTAAATTTATGTTAATTCTCATCTACGTGCTATTTTCACAAATATTTAAAATTAGACTATAGTCTTAGTATAAATTTTACCATCAGCTTCTCATTTATTGAACTCTTAAAAACTATCCATATTATATACTCTTGTTTTACTTTTGTTTCTGACAAAAGGTTCAGGATCTACACATTAAACTGTCCTCTGAATCCAAAAGGGCAGACACACTAGCATTTGAAATGAAGCGGCTTGAAGAAAAACATGAAGCTTTACTTAAGGAAAAAGAGGTAAGCATAAATATAATTGATAAGAAATGTGCCTGTCTGCTTTTAGGTTTTAATATATGATCCTTGCTGCTCTAAGAATAGGAGTTATATCAACCAGTTCTTTCTCCAAAATTGAAATTGTTGTTGTTAAAGAAAGTCTTGTAAAAAGTCTTCATGCAGTTTTGATAGCTTCCTTCACAAGGGAAGATGAAGTGACAGAGCTGAGGTCATATGTCTTGGTCCATGTTTTCCAACACTGGACTGTCTATTTCTTGAGAGCAAAGACCATAGATGTGGTTTTTAACAGCTTTATTAAGATATAGTTTACATACCATAGATTTTGCCCATTTGAAGTGTATAATTCAGTGGATTTTTAGTATATTCAGAGTTGTACAACCATCAGTGCAATCAAAGTTTAGAACACTGTCCTTGCTCCAAAGAGAGCCCCCATGCCTGTTGATGGTTACTCTGCGTTCTGCTCCCCCTCTCCTCAGCAACCAGTAAGCTACTGGCTGTCTCTAGATTTGCCTAGTCTATCCAGAATATGTAATCCTTCACTCGGTGGTTTTTATGACTGAATTCCTTCATTTAGCACAATGCTTTCAAGGTTCATCCATGTTGTAGCATGTATCAGTACTTCATTTTTATTGCTGAATAATACTCTATTGTATGGATATACCACATTTTATTTACGTGTTCATCAGTTTATGGACACTTGGCTATTTCGACTTTTTGATTTTAAATAATGTGGCCATGAACATTTATGTACAAGATTTTATGTGGACGTATCTTTTCATTTCTTGAGTATATACCTAGGAATGATATTGCTTGGTCATATGGTAGCAATATTTAACCTTTTAAATAACTACCAGACTGTTTTCTAAAGTGGATGAACTGTTTTTTACTTTCACCAGCAATTTGTGAAAGTTACAATTTCTCCACATCCTTGCCAGCACTTAACTGCTGTTTAATTTTAGCTATCCTCGTGGTATGAAGTGGTATATCGTTGTGGTTTTGGTTTGTATTTCCCTAATGACTAATGAAGTTGCGCATCTTTTTGTGTACTCCTTGGCCATTTTTATATCTTCCTTGGAGAAATGTCTCCAGAGTTTTTGCCCATGTTTTATTTAAGTTATTTGCTTTTTTTATTATTGAGTTTTAAGAGCTCTTTATATATTCTGAATATAAATCCCTTGTCAGATACATGATTTGCAAACATTTTCTCCTATTCTGTGGGTTGTCTTCTCACTTTCTTGATGGTATTGTTTACAGCATAGTTTTTCATTTGATGATGTCACAATTATCTATTTTTTTCTTTTGTTGTTTGTTCTTTTCTGGTAATGTTTCTATGAAACCATTGAGTAACCTAAGGTTATAAAGATTCACGCCTATATTTTCTTTTAGGAGTTTTATAGTTTTAGCTTTTGTATTTAGTATGTGATCAATTTTGAATTAATTTTTATACATGGTGTAAGATAAGGGTCTAACTTCATTCTTTTGTGTGTGGGTGTATTCAGTTGTTTCAGCACTGGTGGTCGACAAGACTTTTCTTTCCTCCATTGAATTGTCTTGATACCCTTGTTAAAAAATCAGTTGGCCATGATGGATATATTATTCTTTTGATGGACATATTATACTTTTATATTTTTGATGGCTATATTATACTTTTGTCAAAACTCATAAAAGTAAACCATCAAAAGCCCTAATGTAAACTATGTCCTTTAGCTAATAATAGTGCATCAGTGTTGGCTTGGCAACCACACTAATGCAAGTTGTTAATAATAAGGGAATTTAGGGTTGGGAAGAGGAGTCGGAACTCTCGGCTTGCGCCTCATTTTTTCTGCAAACCTAAAACTGCAAAAAAAAGCCTATGAAATATTTTTGAAAAGTAAAAAAAAAATTATTTGACCACCACTTTAAGAGTTTATTTCTGGACTTTGAATTCCTTATCATTGAGCTGTGTATCTAGCATTATGCTAGTAAGACACCGTCGTGATTACTGTAGCTTTGTAGTAACTTGAAATTGGAAAGTATGAGTTCTCCAACTTTGTTCTTCTTTTTAAAGATGGTTTTGGTTATTCTGGGTCTCTTACATTTTCCATATGAATCTTACGACCAGATTGTCAGTTCTTACAAAGCTTGAGATATTGATAAGGATTGCGTGAATCTGTAGATCAGTTTGGAAACATTGCTACCTTAATAGTATTAAGTTTCTGATCCTTGAATGTGGGATAACATTCTATTTATTGAGGTCGTTAGCTTCTTTCAACAATATTTTGTACTTTAAATTGTACAAGACTTACACCTTTATTTCTGAGTGTTTTATTCTTTTTGTTGCTACTATAAATGATATTTTCTCAAACATAGTTTTGGATTTTTCAATGCTAATGTATAGAAAAACAGTTCATTATTGTACATTGACCTTGTATCTTGCACACTTGTTGAATTCACTTAGTATTTTTAATAGTTTTTAGTGGCTTATCTAGTATTTTCTATATACAAGATTAGAACATATGCAAATAGAAATTGTTTTGTGTCTTCCTTAGCAATCAAATGCCTTTTATTTCTTTCTCTTGTCAAATTGTCCTCGCTCGAACCTCCAGCACTAGGTTGAATAGAAGTGGCAAGAGTGGATATCCTTCTCTTGGTTCTGATACTAGGGAGAAAGCATTCATTATTTAACCGTTATGTATGTTTTTAGCCTTGGATTTTGTTTGTAGATGCCCTATATCAAGTTGTGGATGTTTCTTTTATTCATGGTTTATAGCATGTTTTTATCATGAGAGATTGTTCTATTTTGTTATATACTTGTTCTGGGTCAGTAAGGTGCTGTGGTTTTGTCTTTCATTGTATAAATGTGTATTACATTGGTTCTCGGATATTAAACCAATTTTCATTCTTAAGGTAAATTCCATTTGGTCAGAGTGTATAATCCTTTTTAAATGTTTGATTCAGTTTGCTAGTATTTTGTCGAGTATTTTTCCATTTTTATTAATGGATATTGGTTTGTAGTTTTCTTTTGATGTCATTGCCTGATTTTGGTATCAAGGCAATCAGTACCACATAGAATGATTTTGGAAATTTTTTTCCTGATTTTTTTAACTCACTTAAAATCTTTGTCTAGTGTGTCTACCTACTAGGTCACTTCATGGACTGTTTCTGTTGTTGTTGTTTTTTTTCCCCTGTGTATGGACTGTCCTGTTTCTTTGTGTGTTTTGTATTTTTGTTGCAAACATAACATTGAAAATAATATAAAATAAAGAGTTTGACCCTGGAAATCAGATTTCCCTCAACCTCAGGGTTTGTTGTTGTTGCTGGGTTTTTTAGTGACTGTTTTGGACTAATTATGTAAAGTCTTCATTCTTTGTAATGTGCAGCCCCTGGATTCTCTGCTCAGTTAATGATTTGTCAGGTATTTCCATAGATTCCTTGAACCAATAACTATCCCAATCTTTGCAGAAGGATTCAGTGTGTATTTTGTAAAACACCTTCATTCTTAGGTTGTTTAGAACTGCCTTTACGTTATTTTCTGCTTTCATAGAGCCTCAAGTTGACCCAGAGTTGAAACATGGAGGCCTTCTCAGGTCTGTTCTGGGCAAGCGCACAGCCTTACACATGACTGTGGCCTCCTGGATCTCCAGGATATGTCAGAGCTTTTCAAAGTCTCTTCTGGTTATCTTGTTTCTCAGATACTCCTTGTAAGTTTGTGGCCAGGCTCTTGTTTTCCCTAACTGGCATCACAGCCTCTAGCAGCTGTAGTGATAAACAACTGCAGATGATTATTTTTGACAGATGCCTTGGGAATAGGGACTTTCCTACACAGCAAATATCAATCAGCTCAAATAATGAAAAATACGTATGAATGGGTTTCTCCAGGGCACTGCAAGCCTGGTCAAATGGTGACAGTTGTCTAAGGAGAGGGCTTTTTAGGGGGCGTTCCATACCCAGGCTGCCCCTTCTGGTGGCCCTTGAGCTTGATGCTTTTTCAAAGCCGCAGTGATTGAGAGGCTGCCGGTTTTCAAGTTTACTCCAGAGCTTGGGAAAGGGTGATAGTAGTAAAGCAAGTTAAAAGAACCAAAAGCTCACTGTTCTGAGATTTAGCGGATTTTCTTTAACAAATACTCCTCAGGTCATTGCAAGCCTTTCGTTAATTTTCAGAGTTCTGGAAAAGTTGATTTTGACAAATATGGTAGTGTTCGCATTGTATTTATGAAGGAACAGGTTTATGGACAGCCTCATTCCTGCCGTAGTTATGATTTATAGTATTCAGAGATCTCTAGGGCGCCTGTGGACTCCAACTTAAGGACTCTTGAAATCAGTTACCAACTTACTATTAGGTTGTTTTGATCCACATAATGGACAAAATAGGGTTTTGTTTACCGACTTGAAATATAACAACATTTAAAACATAATTTTATATTCAAAAGTACTTTTCGAGTCTGGGGAAATGACTTAAATATGAGTCATTTGTACAGAACATAGAAATGTTTCATTGGCTGTGAGCTCTAAAATAAAACCACTAATGATATGCAGTCCTAGCTTACTATCCTTGGGAAGTAGTGTTTTTCCACAAATTCATACTTTCAGAGCTTTACTTATCACTTCTTTCAGTAGAATTTCACAGCAGTGACAAAAAGAAGCAACAAGTCTTCAGCATCTCTTACACACCAGACTGTTTCTTGATACTTGACAAACCTTACTTTATTCGTTACTCAGAACACCTTTGCAAGGATTTATGTGTTGGGATTCTCATTTTGATGATTCAGATACTAAAGCCAGAGTGAAATAATTTGCCCTAGATAATATAGCTAGTAAGTAGTGAAACTGGAATTCAATCCATGACCTATTTTCCTCCAGAGTTCTTGCTGTTTTTTTATTACTCTACAATTGTGTGTTTGTACTCTGTTTCATAATTACATTCATTAGGTTCAAAGATAAACTATATAATGGAGAAATCACAAGTTTTGTGGTATGTAAAGACTATTATTTCTGTGATTTATGCAAGAGAAAATTAGCCCTTAGCACTAAAATTAAAACATTGCCATTTTTAATTAACTAAGCAACAGTTATAAAATTAACTTGTTAAGATGAATTATTATAAGCATTAAGCGCACTGCCTGTGGGCAGAATTAAATATTTTGCTTATACAAACAATTCTTTTTTAGAGACTAATAGAACAGCGTGATACTCTGAAAGAAACGAATGAAGAACTTCGATGTTCACAAGTACAACAGGATCACCTAAACCAAACAGGTGAATGTTGTTGGAGTTAGACATTTTTTTTTTTTACTGGTAGAAATACTAAAATATTAATTCATTTTGTTGTTGTCTAGATGCATCTGCTTCAAAAAGTTATGAGAATCTTGCTGCTGAGATTATGCCAGTGGAATATAGGTAAATTTATTTTTATTGATAATCCCTGCGTGATATTAGAAATGTAATTTCTTCTTGTGAATTTCTTAGCTTTTAAAACTTTTCATTTTACAAGTCATAGAACTCAAAATGACTTTGTCTCCTCTACTTTAACTTTCCAAGTCATATCATTATTACCACTATAATAGTTTTTAAATTTATCAGAAGTAAAATTTCACTACTAGCTGAAGACACTCTAATTTTTATAATATAACCTTTATTGTGTTGAATTTCTTTTCCTATCCTTAAACTCTATGGAAAACCCTCTTAATACATGACATTCAAATCCCCACTGGTTAAAAAAAATTTAAAAGAGGAGCTGTCAATAATAGCAGGAGGAGTAAGCAGAAGTTAAATAAAATACAAATTTTAGGGGTTCCTCTTGACCCAACTTTTATCTTGGTATTTTATTGCTATGTTTAGTTATAGAAATTTGACTAATCTGGTTATTTTGGGGTTTTTTGTTTTTTGTTTTTTGTGGCAACAGTTTTATTTATTCATTACTTCAAACTCTGCTCTTATAAGTGGCTTTATTGAGATATAATCCACTCATTTAATTAAACTACATAAAAATGTAGTTTGGTGGGTTTTAGTATAGTCACAGAGTTGTGCAACCATCGTCACTATCAAATTTGAGACATTTTTATCACACCCCCCCTCCTCCCAAAAAAAGATACCTTGTACCTATTAGCAGTCATTTCCCATTCCTGCCTCCCCTCTAACTCCATCCCCAGGCAACCAATAATCTACTCTTTGTCTCTATCACTTTGCCTGTTATGGACATTTCATAGACATGGAATCATATGATATGTGGCCTTTTGTGACTGTCTTCTTGCACTGAGCATATTTACAAAGTTTTCAGTTGGTTTTCAGTTTGTTCGGTTTTTGGTTAAGATAGAGCTCTTTAAGTGCTGGACTGCAAACTAGTGTGTACTTTTTAGTTGTTAATATCTAGTTAGAATCAGTTACCATAATCAGTTTAATATTTTATAATAATTTTTTAAATAGCCATATGAGCCTTTAAAAAAAAAGATTTTATTGGGGAGTTAGGGGAGGGAACAGTAGTACAGTGGTGGGGAATTGGGTGAGGGGAACAGCTTTGGGGAATTGGGGAAGGGGAACAGCCAAGTTGTTGTCCTTCAATCTTAGTTGTGGAGGGCGCAGCTAGCTCAGCTCCAAGTCCAGTCGTGCAGCTCAGCTCAAGGTGCTGTGTTCAATTAGTTGCAGGTGGGCGTAGCCACCATCCCATGCTGGAGTCGAACTGGCAGCCTCATTGTTAAGAGCGCACGCTCTATCCCCTGAGCTACCCAGGCGGCAGCTCAGCTCAAGGTGTTGAGTTCAGCCTTTAGTTGTGGGCGGACATAGCCCACCATCTGGAACAGGCAACCTTCTGTTTAGGAACACGTGCTCTAACCAGCTAAGCCACCCTGCCACCTGTTGGCAGCTCAGCAGCAGCTCAGCTCGGGTGCAGCTCACTGGCCCATGTGGGAATTGAACCGGTGACCTTGTTGCTCAGAGCTTGCACTCTTGAGCAAGCTCTTAACCAACTGAGCCAATTGGCTTGCCCAGTGAGCTTATTTTTTAAAGTTATGATGCTGGCATTCAGAAACACAAAATTGAGATTAACTGAAATGAGTTGCTTTTATGAAATGGGAATTAGGAGGACAGCAGATAGGCGAGCATTACTTTTTTATTTAATACCATTTCTATCATTTGCATTTTAAAACATATAAACCTATAATAAAAAGTTTTTCTAAAATCAAAAAAATCTAGAGATAGTCATATGACTGCCATTATCATAAAAGTATATTTAAAATTTTTAGTCAAACCGTAGTTTCTTAAATCTGTTGCTTTTCATTTGTATGTTTTCTAAGGATATGCTACATATTACCTTTAGTGAATAGTTTCTAAATTATCAAAGTAAAATAATGCATATTATCTCTTTAGGAATTTGCATAATAAACATTTAATGATACACAACATAATCTTATACCTGTACCTTTAAAAATTCACTACTTGTTTTTCGAGACATAGTCTTAAAATTTACATAGTTTTTTCTTAAAAACTTTCAGAAGCTTTGGTAACATTTTAAAACACAGCTATTGAGTGGACGGGAATTTCATTTTTTTTTAAAGTTAAGAATGTAAAATCTCTTACATTTAAAAAATTCAAAAACATTTACTCTTCTATATCAGGGAGGTGTTTATTCGACTGCAACATGAAAATAAGATGCTTCGTTTACAGCAGGAAGGTACTGAGAACCAACGTATTGAAGAACTTCAGGAGCAGCTAGAACAGAAGCATCGTAAGACAAATGAATTAGAAACTGAGCAAAGGTGACACTCTCCTTTATGATCGACATGGTGATTTCATTACCTAACCACAAAATCTTGATTCACAGAAGTGGAAAATACCATTGTAGTTAAAATAATTAGGATTTTTAGAAAAAGATTAATTTTTTTGTTTTGTCTTTAGTCTCTCACTATCCATTACTTTTAGCAGACTTTATTAACCTGGTTGCTTATTCTTGAATTTTATTTGGCTGTCTTTACAATTGAAAGAAAATTTAACGAATGAATGACGCTCTGTCTTTCTCCTGCTGTCTGGTTCATGGATGGGACATAGATTGTGGAGTCAAATTTGACCCACTTTTTCTTTTTATGTATGTATGTATGTATGTATGTATGTATGTATGTATGTATTTATTTATTATTTATTTATTTATTTATTTATTTATTTATTTATTTTAAGCTGAGCCATCCTGCCACCTGTTGGCAGCTCAGCGGCCGCTCAGCTCAGGCCGGGAATCGAATTGCTGTTGCTCAGAGCTCAAGCTCTTGAGCGAGCTCTTAACCAACTGAGCCACTCGGCCAGCCCGAATCCCACTTTTTCTTAAACTTATTTACTGTTTGGTTCTGGGCAAGTTACTTAAATCCCCTTAAAGTCCTCAGCTGTAAATTTAAGGTGATACCTATTTTCAGGTTATGAAGATTACAGATAATGTATTTAAAGCAAATGATGAACTTACCTGATACCAATGAGGTGCTCAAAAATTACAATATTAAAAAAACAACATTTATGTAGTGCTTACTATATGTCAGGTACTTTTTAAAGCACGTTTTGATATTAGCTCAGTAAATCCTTACAATAACTATAAAGTAATGACTGCGATTATCTCTTTTTTATGGGTAAGAAAGCTGAGGTACAAGGAGGTTAAATAACTTGCTCCAAGTTACACAGCTGGTAGTTTCTGGAGCCTACATTTGAACCCTCTGTTAGTGTGACGCCTGAGTTTCTGCTGTTCACCACAGTGCCAGCCGCCCCTTATGAATATCATACGCATACTTGCAGTAAAAGTATTTAGATTTATTTGACCAACCTTTGTTGGATTTTAGAGACCACCAAGAATTTTAGAGACACTTGAACCTTGTCTCTCATTCAGGATTTCAACAAAATCCAATAGTATGTATACTATTACATCAACTGCAGTTAAAAGAATAACATTTTAGCTTTCTGAAGAGATCATTAAATATTACTGTCCTATACAGTTCAATATCAATTGACACAGGATATATTAAGTTTCAGCTTTTAGAGAGTTAATATAGAAAGATAGACATATGAATAGATAATTACATGTAAAGACAGATACTCTCTCTTGCTGGTAACTTCCAATGGAGGCAACTCTTAGGCAGGGTTTTAAGGAATGAGATTATGACAAATTAAAAATATGCACTAGTTGCTAGTATGAATCTCTTTAATTTAAATAACAAGTCATAAAGAAATGGTTGGAAAATGATGACCTTCTTCTTCTCCTGATAACACTGTGAAATCTGAAATAGGAAAAGGAAACCTAGTTTCCATTCATTAAAAATACAATGGTAGGAAAATGAGCTTGTTTTCTCATTTTTATACCAGTAAGTACAGTGCAGAAATTTTGTGCCTTTGTCACTGATACATAAAGTACCTTAACATTTTAAATATGGGTATACGAGTATGTGCTTTCAGGATAAAACTGTCTTATTAAATATTTCCTTGAAACTAGCCTACTATATATTACATACTATATATTATACCTAGCCACAGATGATGCTCAGCTTTTGTTACTGCAATTAAATGTATACTTTATGAGTTTAATTGTATAAAAGCACCTTTATAGATCCTTAACTACTTTGACTTTCAATACAAATAAACACACATGATTCACCTTAAAATAGGCTGAGCAAAGAGCGCATCCGAGAATTGCAGCAGCAGGTTGAAGACCTCCAGAAGTCTTTACAGGAACAAGGCTCCAAGTCTGAAGGAGGAAGTGTAAGTAACTTAAAAAGTATCATAATTCTGCTGTGTGTAGACTCTATAATAGGTCCTGATGCTTTGAAAGTACTACTCTTATCATTGGTGGTACCCTTAAATACCGTATATATCTGCATAACAGATGCAGTGATTTTGCCAATTTGGATCCTATAAATTGATCATTGTATTGGAAAGTGATTTATATCTATCCTTCCTCAACAGCTATACCTAAGTTCATGGTAATTCCTGATTGTGTGCATGCCACAATTGAGGTTTTCACATTTCTGCTGGGATCCCAACAGGGCTGGCCTAAGAAAAACCCAGTGAGAGTAAACAGCAGTCAGAATTGAGGGGAACTTCTAATAAGAAGAGAAAGAATGAGAAAATTATTTATACCAAAAGAGCATTCAAGAAGTGTTTCAAACCAACCTTCGAAGGACAGAAACCTTAATGCATCTTGAAGACATTACCCCTTTTTTCTTCCCTCCTTCCATACTGGTAACCTTGCCATTTCTAATGGATTTTGATGACAGATATTGTGAGGGCAGAAAGAAGAGGACTTAGAAGAGATCAAACAGGCTAAATATGCCTACCAGTGTTTTTTATACTTTGACCTCTGTATATAGAGTGGAAAAGAAATAATAACTGAGGGAGAGATGTATTGAATTAAAACAACAACAAAAAGATAGGGCTAGCTGTGTGTTAGGTATATTGGTTAGATAAAATGTTAGGTGATTCTACCTGTGTTAATGGGGGAGACAACTAGGGAGAGTAAGTATTAAAGAGACGAAAAGAAAGATTGAAAGGGTTTTATTTCCTTTCCGTCTTTTTTATGCTTTATACGATTTTCTCTTTTTTCCCTGGGGGCTTGGAAAATAGAAATCGTCTCATGCATGGCGGCATCTCATATGTGCATATATACGGTATTGTAACCTCTCTAATACAAATATATTTTTAAGGCACATTAGGGAATACTTTCAAAATGAGATCTAATTGGGGAGTACATTTTGGATTGCAATGTTTTAAAGATTTTAAATTTCTATATTTAAAAAAAAATTGTTTGTGTCCAAATTGTATTTCAGATCATATGTATTTAAACTCTACAGCTATTCAGTAGATGATTCAGAACTACTATTGCAATTTAAATTCCTGGTTTTTAAAGAGGAAATTTTATGTTTATTTTTTAACAAAATCCAATAGCTTCGTTTAATTTTTAAATTAATATTAAAGTTCTTGCATTTATAATGAAAAGGTTTATTATTAAGATAATTACTTTAGTTTTTTGTCTATTCTTCATTAAAGGTGTAAAATCTTAAAATTTGTATTTTAAATAAGTGATTTTTTTTTTTTAGGCATTTAAGTGTTTGATACTCCTCCATATATTATATTCAGCTTGCGTTTGCTATTTTTTCTTCAAGTTCAAATGTTATTTACATTGTATTTAGGAATATGAACTATTTTTCTTTCTGCTGTTGTACTCTTCTTATTCTATTTCGTATTCTCCTTTGAAGTGAAAAAAATCCCTAAAATTTTATGTTTTTACAAGTTTATTATTAGAAGTACAAATTTTTATCACATGTATAATTTAAGTAATACACTTTCATAAGGAGTTAAAGAGATTTCGATATCTGGAAAATTTATCTTTGTCACAATAGTTATCTTATAGCAACTGTTTTTAATTTTTATAGTCCAGCAAACTAAAGCAGAAGTTGGAAGCTCATATGTAAGTAAAACTGATATTTTATATCAAATATGAGAGGGGAAGGGTTTCAAAAGCTTCTAAAGTTAATATCCTTTTTCTGAATTTGTTTACAAAAGCAAAACCCTCATGCCAATTGAATGTTCACCATTGTCACCAAAAAGTGAAAAGAAAAACATGCTAAAAGGTTCAGTCCACCTGCCAGTGATCCCATATCCTATATTTTTCAATTATTAATATCATTTAAAGAGTTTACAAAGCAGGCATCTATCATGTGGAGAGGTGGAATGCTTATCCCATACAATATTTCCTTTAACTTTCTTAGGAGGCAAAGGTGGTAAGGTGGAAAATTTTAACATTTTTGGCACCCATCATGTGCCAGACATCTTCACAACAACCCCTATAATTTAATTTGGCAGGTGTCATTACCATTTCACAGGTGAGGAAAGTAAGCATCAGCAAGTGACCTCCCCACAGTCCACAAATGTTACGTGACAGAAACTAGTTTTCATTCTTAGGTCTGTTTGGCTCCAAAGCTCCATGTTCTTTCCCCTACTTAGGGAAAAACTAACAGAGGTACATGAAGAATTGCAGAAGAAACAAGAGCTCATTGAAGATCTTCAGCCAGATATAAACCAGCATGGTAGGTATTTGTAAAAGCCTGGATCTGAAGACTTGCCCTTTTTAGTTGATGCATACAAAAACTGTGTATAAGTGTTTGGACAGTGCATAGACACATACATTGCAAATAAATACCATGATAATTTTGAGTGATTTAAGTAATTAATAAACTATCTAATCTTAAGGCAACAAGAAAAAGTCAGTCTAATAAAATGAACTGATTGATATGTAGGAGTATCAAACATTGTAAAATATAGAATTAGTATATATGAAAATATAAATAAAATAATGATTTAAAATCAGATTAAAATGAACTTTAAACATTATGTAGAAAGGGTGCTTTATTTTTTCTTATGATAGTTGTGCTTACATTGTAAAGTACGTTTGCTCATTGAAATACTTGATAGAAAGGATAAAATAGCTAGACAAATCAGATTATAGATCTTTTTAAGAAAAAATAATACAAAATGAGGATGTATTGGTTGTACTTCAAAAGCTTTAGATAAGAATTCACTACAAAGAATAAATAAAAGTTTTATGTTCTCTTATCAGTCTTTAGAAAATATATATGATAAATATATATTTTTGTGTGTGAGGATGGAGTATTTTAAGTAGGTAGTAATTGGTCATGTTTTATTTCATTTTCATTAATAGTACAAAAGATCAGTGAACTTGAAGCTGCTCTTCAGAAGAAAGAAGAAGATATGAAAGCAATGGAGGAACGATATAAAATGTACTTAGAGAAGGCAAGAAATGTGAGTGACTTATCTTACAGAGCTCAAGTCTTTGTGACTCAGGTTCTAATTACGCCTGTTCCACCTGATTGTACTGCTCTTCCTGTACCTGTATCATGTCCCTTTGCTCCCCAGTACCCTTCCTTGCAGGTCAGGTTCCCAGTGTGTCTCCACACCAGCCCTTGTGCCCTCTCACTCATCCGGATCACATAAAACAAACACGTGGCTAATAGGAACTGTTTAAACATGGACTATAGTGACCTCATTAGAGAAAACGATGACTATATTATATGGCATCTTTAGGTCTTAAAAGGAAAACACATTTGCCTTTTGTGAAAATTTAGCTTTTCAAACTTGTTTGTAATTAGTATTTAGTCTAAGTTAGACAGTTAAACACTGTTCTTGTGTTCACCACACTAATTCTTCTTTTTCTTTATTTTGTACTTTTTACTAAACATCTGCAAGCACTGTTCTCATAAAATTTATTTCCATGAATACCATATATTTTCCTAATTAAGTGTTCTCTCTCAGAGAATGTCAATGTACTCTTTTCTATATACTGAATAAAAAGAGAATTTAGTGATGAAGCTTTAAAATATTGCTAATGTCTGCCCTTTTTATGTTTGTTTTATATAATATTCATTGAGGCATAAATAGTACCTGCAGCAACAGGTAAACCCCAAGATCTTAAGGCTTAACAAGACAGAAGTTTACTTCTTGATCACGTGAAACCCAGTCATCAGTGAGGGGAGGGACCCTGCTCCATGTAGCCACTCACAGCATCTAGCTGATAGAGGCTCTGCCTTCTTCAACACATGACTCTCAGACGCACTTGACATTGTCCAACTAGCAGATGAGAGAAGAAAGCATTGATTGTATGGCAGATATGTAATGGGTCAAGCCTGGAATCAGTGTAAACCACTTTCACCCTCACTTCAGTAGGCAGAACTCAGGCCTATAGCCACACTCAACTTCGAGGGAGAAAAGACCTGGTAAACATCCAGTCAGTCTATGCCACAGTTCAGTTTCTTTCAGTTACAGAAGTATAAATGCCTCAGTAACAAATATAAACTATAGAAAGTTTTCCAGAGATAATTGCTATTAACTTTTTGATATATTTTCTTAACAGTGAATTTTTTTCAATGCATATTTTCTCCATACTTCTTGGCCATGATATACATACACAAAAGTGTGTGTTGTATATATATCATATATATATATATATATATATATATATATGATTTGTATTTTTAAAACTTAAAATAATTTTCTCATGCTCTATAAATGTAATTTAATATTTATTGAATGCCTAAGCACTGGAAATACAGGACTAAACAAGACAGAAATCACACAACAGACTTCGCAAAAGTGAAAGAACGGCTACATGATATTCAGTGGTGTGGGATATAGCGTAGTTTTACTTAGTCATCATCCTGTTGTTTGAAATACTTCGTTTTCGCTTTTTCTTTTTGATCTTAGAAATAAGTCTATAGGGAACATACTTATACAAAAAGCTTTTGACTTATTTTGGTTTATTATCTTAACCTTGTTCCTAGGTTAATGGGTCAAATAGAATTATTGGATTAAAGGATAACAGCATTTTAATAAGATGCTTGATATATTTTTCTGAATGATACTCTAGAAGGATTATAATTAATCGGGACAAAGCAATGACAAAGAATACCATATTCTTGCCATTACTGAATATAATCATTTAAAAAACAGTTGCTTATTTGTAAATGTGATTTCACATTATTTGGGGGAGAGGTTAAAATAGCATTGTGTGTGTCCATTACAGAAAATTCACAAAATCAAGAAAAGTCAAAACTATACTTTTTATCGCTTAGGGGTAACAAGCCGTGATTTTTTTTCTTTGTAAGTAAGTCATGATTGAAACTCTTTAATGTGTCTGTTTGTATGATGTGAACTCTATGAAGGCAGGCACCATGTCTGCTGTGAAGTGCTCTATTCCCATCTGTCGCAATGCCTGCCATTTTGGCACTCAGTAAATCATTTTGAATGAACCACAGTAATTTTAGACATGTTACCTTCTAGTCTTTTTCCTTTACCACTGTAAATATAGATGACATTTCCTAACTCATGAAATAATTTTGACTATTTTTAATAGATTTGTAATTATATTATTCGGATGACCTTATTATTGAAAGTTGTTGTTTCTGCTTATAATTTATTCCTGACACTTACGAGTTGATTTCCTGTCATACTGCTTACCTACATAGTTTAGCTAAGTCTCTGAACAGCATTCTGATCAAACACCTCGTTTTACCCAACTTTTCATAATTTTTATAAATGTGATTGAGCACCCTAGTGTTTGTAGACAAAATGGTCAATATGTATTATAATGACCTTATACATTGAATTACATTTACTAGATAATGGTAGTAAAAAAGATTGTTGCTAAGAATTTTTTGTGTATATCACTTCTGCTTTATACAGTCAGCAAGTTCCACTATAATTATTGAATTCATTCTAATTTTAAATAATGCTCAAGTCAGATAAATGTGGAAAGGGTTATTTCAAGACCTTAGTGCTCAAAGTTTGATAAGGCTAAATAACTATACCTGTTTACTGAGCCTTGGAAAAGGGAGATTTGATTTTGGAATGGGGATCTTTCCATTTTTATGCTGAATTTTTTGTACCATTTCTCATCTGTGGAATAAGTTATTTTGTTATTCAAATTTGATTGTAAGACAAACTATAATTAGCTCCTGGACCACTTTCTGGACACTTTTCCAATTACATAGATTTTTATGGACTGTTGTTACATTTCAATATTTGGTAAAATAAAGTAAACATTTTTTTTCTTTAAATAGGTAATAAAAACTTTAGATCCCAAATTAAATCCAGCATCAGCTGAAATAATGCTACTTAGAAAACAGTTGGCAGAGAAAGAGAGAAGAATTGAGATTCTGGAGGTAAAACTTTCATAATCATGCATCTCCTCTTAATTTTTCTGGGTAATCCTGGTAACTGCTGTCAGATATTTGCCATTAATGATCAAATTTTACAAGAAGTTAGAAATATCATATCATGTCTTTGCACTGAGCGTGTTTACTGCAGAGCATCTCACTTGCCCACAAGATTCGTCTCTACCGCTTATGTACCATGCTGCATTGTCTCTCTCCCGCTCTGTGACAGCCAGTCATGTGGCTATCCCTTAGTTTTTAAGAGCCCTGATGTAACGCTCCTTTTAAAATGATGCAGATGAGAGTTCATTCAGAAATGAAAGAAACCAAGCTCACCTTTTAAAAATGGTACTGTACTCAGTTAACCAATTTTGTCTTACCGTTTTCCCTGTTCCTCACTGAACCCAAACAAATTTACAAGTTGGAATTCCTGAGAGAAAGAAGTACATACTTAAAAATCCCATGAAACCCTTGAACAAAGTGTCAGTCTCTTATTAATCATGCAAAGTTATGTTAGTAATGGTGTGTTCTCATTGGTTAACTGAGTCTTTAAATTTTAATATTTTTATGTCACTGATTATATCATTTTTTATGAGCTGGGTTAAGTATGTCAGTATGGAATTGTATATTCTTAGATTTTATAATTGGACATGTGCTAATTTTTTCTTGCAAAGTGTTTTACAAAACTACTGTTTTTATTACTATCGTGAGTGTGATGCTACTCTTGAAGTCAGTATATACTTCCTCATAATAACATGCATAATTGCAGAGCCATGTTGAATTCTATATACTGACCTTGAAATTCCCATAATTTATAGTTGGTTTCCTTTTGAATCAATTAGCAATGCTTTATTTCAAAGAAACATATGTTCACTTAGCATTTTCTTTGTGTTATTTCTGAGCCAGTAGATGCGGACTTTCGTAGAGATATTTTGCTTAAAGACTTTAACGACTTTAACATCTAGAGTATACACACCAGCCTTATGTGTGCTTTCTGTAAGTGCTTGTCCAGGCTGTCAGGTGTTGTAAAAAGCACTGGTTAGGGGGATCTTTCTGAACAAATATATTCATTCTTCAGGTTCCAAATGTCTCTTCCTCTATAATGCTTTCCTTATATTCCTTTGGCAAAGTGTGTTATCTCTCCATAGTGATTCCGAGTACTTTGAACTCATGAATTCATCCCACAATAGCATCATTTTTCTTTTTGGATTGTGTCAGAGCAAATTGAGGGCAGAGGCTATATCTTACTTACATCTCTGTATTCTCAACATTAAATATTATATAAATCAGAAGTCAGGGTTATAGTTTTATTGGTAAGTTATCTTAAAGTTGTCAACTTTCCTTTCTGGTCCTCCATTTCCTAATCTATAAAATAATGAAACTTGGACTGAATCTCTGAAATCTAATTTGCCCTGATGATTCACTTCCTAGTGAAAGCCAATGAGAATGCACATCATTGTTTATGTTGCAATGCAGCGCCCCAACAAGTATAATGACAAGACCATGCCTTTAGCTCTAGGGTTTTGAGGAAAAATTTCAGTTAAGTCACAGCATATAGGCCATGAATTTATGTGTATTCATCTGTACGCACACTGCAAAAAGGAAAAAGGAAAAAAGTAATGTAAATAGCAGAGGTTATTCTATATGCCAGCTTTCTTGGGGAGTCTGTCTGGAGCGGGTGTGAACCAAAAGAAAGGCATCTTACCTCTTACCTCCCTCGTTCCTTGTATGCTTTCTGTATCATCAGCATCTTGCTGTGAAAACATTCAGATGTTTCAAGATTATAATTTTTATGATCCAACTCTATCTGTACTCAACAAAATTATAAAATTAGCTGTTTTAGAGTAATTAAGAAATGAATGTCTGTCTCTAGGTGGCATGTAACTAAGGCCACAGGCAGTCTAGTATACAAGTAACCAAGAATTCAGAAATAAAAATTCATACTAAGCTTTATAGTAGATTTTAAAGGATTTTTGGGGATATTTTTTATTATATCTCTTTCTCCTTAGTTTTGATTCCTTCATAGGTGCAGGTCTGTTTTGTTACCCAAGGCAGTTGTTACTTTTTTCTAGATATAAGTGACAGTACCATAAGAATCACTAGTTTCTTGGGTGGGGGGGGGGGGAGAATGTTGCTTTTAAAATATCTGTTCTACGTAAAATACCTGACATAAAGATTTACTAACACAATCTTTTTCTTTCCTAAGGTGCTTTACTAGCATTTTCTCCATGATTCAGTTTACACTTTGATGATTTTATGTATCTCAAAATTCATTCTCCAGGTTCTCTCAATAATGATTCCATTTTTAGTTACTTAGTTGGGGTTATTTCTGGGATTTTAATAATAGTCTTTATATCTTTTTCCAGAGTGAATGTAAAGTAGCAAAATTCCGTGATTACGAAGAAAAACTCATTGTTTCTGCCTGGTATAATAAGGTGAGTTGAAATTCAGTCAATGATTGGATGTTTAGAACTGTTTATCAAACATTTTGACCAAGAACCGTTGAAGGAAATAACTTTATACTACAAATCATTACATATACATGTTTACAATATAACTGAACAAAAGTTACCCTGACTGCATTGCACTCAGGTATTTTATGTCATATTCTCTTCTGCTTTTTTTTTAATGTTAATCATTATCCAAATTGACTATATATTTTAGTTTGTTTTTAATTCATTTTGACTTTCTCAAAATCAGTGAATTGATTTAGTGACTTATTGACCTTTAATTGATACACATAAAGCACACACACAACAATCCATAAATATTTTTTAAAATTGCCTTATTTGGGCTAAAACATTTAATCTGTGTTCCAGAAAGGGTTTCTTTAGAAATGTGAATATCTGTAATGCCAAATTAAGTGCTGCTAGTACTCAATATTTATTTTAACATTCCCTAAAGCCGTTCAGTGTGTGCTTTAAAATATTTGCTTTTTTTTTAATCCAGAGAATACTCTTCAGTAACTAACTGTCTGTCGTAACAAGGAGAAAACAGTATAAAATAATTTGATGTGTATTTTACTTTTTCCTCCTTAGTATGTATAGGATGTTTTCAAGAGTAGCATTTCATGATGTATATGGCTCTTTTGGATTATTGTAATCAGCTGGAATAGATAACCAGCTACCATCTACCTTAGGTGCTGCGTATTTAGTCTGAGAGAATATTGATTTATAGACGCCCCACATGTGAACCCTGTGCTTCACCATGTAGAACTGGTTATCCTTCCTCAAACATGCTTTGTTCTTTCATGCCATCATTCTTTTATGTCTGTGCTCTTTTCTTCCCCTTCTTCTCTATTTGGTAAAAATCTGGCTTCAGTTAGCAAGGCCTTGAAGGAAGTCATGGGTGAGGTGTTCCCAGAATCTTCCCTCATGGGTTAGTCATCCTAGTAAATATAGAGAACTGTGTATTGTTTTTTTTGTTGTTGTTGTTCTCCTATGGCCTCTTGATACATAAATCATTAAAGATATTAAAGCCAAATAATGTATTAGTTGTTCATTTTTTTAACATATTTTTTTGAGCATCTACTCTGTTCTAATTTAATCTACTCTGTTCTGTACTAATTAATTACTACCCACTCTTAGTTCAGGAAAATTGTGTTATGTGGTCTTAGTTCCTTTACTAAGAAACTCAACAGGAGCAACAACAATCATTTTGTCATGTGTCAGTATAGAGAAGGACCATAGTAAGCATGAACTATACTGGTGGTTCTCAGACTTTAGCATGCATCAGAAGTCATGTTAAAATACAAGTATAAATTCGCCTATAGAGCTTCTTATTCAGTAGGTCTGGGTAAAATCTACAGGTAGAATTTGTATTTTTAACAGACTCTTAGTGGTGTTAATTAATCCAGAGAACCATTGATCTAAGCTTTTCTATTGTGTTATATCTTCTTATAGAGGGTGGAGAGATGGCCCAAGCACAGCAATTTACTTTGGAGCCTTTTTTTTTTTAATTGTTGTAATTCAGCTTAATTCTAGACCGTTATTTTATGCTATTGTTTTTAATGATTTCATATTCAGAGAATTAAAACAGAAACTGGGTTTTATGCCTTTTTTTTTCCTTTCTTAATACCATTACTGTATGCAGATTAAGTAGCTTCTGAACCCATATTTTGTTCTACAAAAATGAGGAAAACACGAGCTGTATAGGATTGTTTTGAGGATTAAATGATTTTTATGTATCCAAAAAACGCTTTAAAACTCTACTCTAAATAGTTATTTTATTTGTTTGTTTATTTTTGTTCAGAGTCTAGCATTCCAGAAACTGGGGATGGAATCTAGACTTGTGAGCAGCAGTGGTGCTTGCAAAGACACTGGCGCATGTCCTCCTGCTCGGTCCTTCTTAGCACAGCAACGGCACATCACCACCACCAGAAGAAATCTCTCCGTTAAAGTTCCCGCTACAACATCTGATTAAACTACAAAAGAAAACATAAACAGAAGTGCCCTTAAAATATTTTGTATCTTTCCCCTAACAACCAGATTGAAAAAGAAGTTTATGATGCTGGATATCAGCTCCTCAAAATGCATGAAATTAATTTTGCTGGCTAACTTTGAAAACAAAATAGAGAATTAGCTATCCCTCTCAGGGAGCACATTTGAATAATTGGAAGATGTAATCAGGCACACATCACAAACATCTGTGTTTTGAGAGTATTGTAATTTGAAATTGACTTTGTATATTTTAGTGTTTTCAGTTGTACCAGTAACTTGGTTAATTTGCAATGTGTAATCAGTAATACGTAATTTTAAAATATATCTACATTTGCTTTATTGTTTTGGTCCATATAAAAAATACTCTTAAGGTAGGCACATGTAGAACTATACAAAAAAATGTTATATTTTTTTATTAGATATATACAAGGTTTTACCTCTATTCTCTAATTCTGTCATTGAATGGGTATATTTTGTCATGTAATGGAAGATATAACATTTGGAAGATTCGACTATTGAAATGACTTTGCCATAGTAAAGTGACTAATTGAAAATTCTGCAGATTCAGAAGACGTCATACTTCCCCGTGGACCTGCTATAAACAAGTGCTTTTGTACAGCATGGTTGAAATGTGAAGTGTGCGGACATAAACTGACTGTTTAAGTGGTGACTTTGATGGGGAAAAAAGCTGGGAAAAAATGTACTTTGTGTGAAACATCCACATACTCTTTAATATAATTAATGAAGATTACAATTATTTTGCTTGTAAGCATAAATTTTTCAGGGTTTTACCCCTTCACTGAAAAGAGATGGTGCAGTGATGAAACAATTTGGAATCAATTTGATGTTGTTTACTAATTAAGGAATCTGTGGTAGGCTGAGTTTATGGTATTCAGTTCATTTAAACCCAAAGCTCTTTATTTTCAAAGGTGTTACTTTCCCTCTTTTTTTGGTTATTTTTAAGAGTCACACTTTGGAATTTTAATTTAGTTGAGTAAAATATGTGTTGTCCAATATTGTAGCCACAAACCATATGTGGTAATTTTAATTAAATTAATTAAAATTAAAAATTAAGTTCCTTGGTTGCACCAGCCACAGTTCAAATCAAATGCTCAATAGCCATGTTGGCTAATGGCAACAGTATTGGAAAGTACAGATATAAAATATTTCCATTATTGCAGAAAGTTCTGTTGGACAGTGCCACACTAAAACTTTTTTATAGTAACATAGAAATATTCATTGATGTTAGACCACAAAAGTAAAAAGAAGAAACAGGACAATTTCACTATGAAAAGGAATTAAATTGTGACATAACTAGCATCTTGCTTTCCTTATAGTTGGATACCTTATGTTGTGACGTTAGTAATCTTTCCCGCACTGTTTAACAACTACATACCTATCAGCAGAAGTCTAGACCAGGCAGGGGTCAGCAAGCTTTCTGTAAAGAGACAGATAGTAATTATTTTAGGCATTGTTGGCCATATGAGCAATAGCAAGTACTCAACTCTGCCATAAAGTATGAAAGCAGCAGCCATACACAATATGTAAACCAAATAGGCGTGGTTATGTTTCAATAAAACTTTATTTACAAAAACTGGTGGTAGGTCAGATTTGGCCTGCAGGCTATAGACCTTGGGTCTAGAGTTTATTTTTAACCTTTCCTTGAAAATATGAATATTGTTTCATTAACAGTATTACTCATTTAGACACTTGGTTTTTAGATTGTCTACCAATAAATTTTTTTAATCACTGAAAATACAAGAATTTCATACTGCATTTGGGTCTCTGAGATTAGGGAGCATCTTGTCAGGATATTTTGTTTTATCAGGGTTACTTCTGTTGACTACCTCTTAGATTTTGATGTCTTTTTTCAGTACAGGTATATTGTTTGTTTGCATTTTTGTATATTATTGTAGTCTCTGCTTGCCTGTGACTTTTAATGAAATGGAATAAGCCTTTGAAAACATTTTAGCATGCCTATTAAAATTTTCTAAGTATTATGGCATTTTGGTATCTTTTGGTCAATGTAAGACATCTGCCCTTTGGTATTTACTACTTGCTTATAATTGAGATTTTTACAAGCTCTTCAGGCTCCCTTTTAATGGAATTTATTGTAAAACATCAATTTCAATAAATTAGTATTTTCACATTTCAACTGCTCATAAATTTTTGATGGTTATACTAGAGATTTCTAAATAATTCATGCAATTTATGAATAAAGTCAAAGCTGGATTCTTTTTTTCTTAATGGAAAAAAAGCAAATTTTTTGATTTACCACTTTTCTAGTTCATAAGTAGAATTTAAACTGCTTGATATATGTATACAAGACATGTAATTTAAAGTTCTGTATTATTGTGATTAATCATAAGGAAATTCAGGAAATGATCAGAAGTGAGATTCTTTCCCACATCTGGTTAATATAGTGAGATTGACACCCTGTGGGTGGTAAAGCATTATAACTATTCATCATAAACCATGAATTATACATGTCTGTGTTGTGAGGCTTAAGTGCATATACCAGGGAAGAGAAATTTAGCATTCATTTATGTGATAAGGAGTTGAATGTCCCAGTGATAATAAGTAAAATCACAGATCAATTTAAATATGATCTTTAATTTTGAGCATTTGCTCTAAAATTAACATTTCTTTCTCTTTTTAAAATAAAAAATGTATATACATATGGCAATGATGTTTATCCTGAGATTGACTTAATGTATTGAGAAATATTTTAGGTTCACTCTATTTTTTCAATGAACTAATGATATAGATGAAGAATGACTATGTCTTGTCTGAAAACATTAAATTGGATATCCCTTCTTAAGATGTCATCTTGGATACCTGGAGTGCTAATTTCAATGTTACATAATGCCTGCACTTCTGCACCTGTTTCTGTGTAGTGGCACATCTAGCTCTGGGGGGTGGCTTTTCGAGCACAATACTTCTGTGTTAGGTTCTCTATATGTATATTTAATGAGAACCATTCCTATGTAAAAATGTGTGTGTATGGTTGTATGCATACATTCTTACTGTGAACCTGTACATTGGAAAGTGGTTTAGAAATTTGTAAAGCGCTAAAGCACAATCATTAAAAAAAATAGCGTGTAGTTATTAAACATGATGTACTTTAATGTTTAGTTTATAAAAGGTTCTTTCTATTTTCTATGGCAAAGACTTTGACATTTGAAAAATGGAAGCAATACTTGATTTATTTTTGTAAGTATTTAGGATATTATTTTAAATAAATGACTGTCCAATAACAGTATCATAGTTGTAAAGTGTTTTAAGTAAATAAACTTCCTGGTTCTGTGTCTGATGGTTGTTGATGGGTTTTTAATAGGTATATATGCACGTTTATTTGCTGGCTTTAAATAAAAGGACTTAAAATATTTAGATTGATAAAGAAAAATTTTAATTCTGATTTTGTTTTCTGTTTGAATGTTTTGGTGAATGAAAAGATGTGTAAAAGTGATTTTTGGTTTGCCCAGTTATATCTCCAATTTCACCACTGGAATCTAGACATTTTGCATTATTGTGGAATTCAGAAAATTTCTGTGTTTTCGTAGGCAGAGACTGCTAACCTTTCTCTCCTTTGTCCTTTAGTAATAGAACCCCATATTTTACCTTGTTACATTTACCTTCCACCCAGGGAGGAAAAAATAAATGCTTCCCAGACTCCCTTATAACTAGATGGGGCTATTTAAGTTCTGGCCAGAGATGTGAACAGTGGTGATGTATGCCTGTTAAAAGAATGGGTATGCTTTCCTTAGCCCTCTCCCCTTCCCATCTAGAAAGTCATGTGCCTGAGGGTAACCATCAGGGAGAGTGAACCAAGAAGGAAGAAGGGACTTAGAGCCTTGAAATCGCCATTTAGTCATATCAGCTATGGACCCTCAGTCCAGATTTCTCTTGTTTAAGCCATTTTTTTAGCTACTTTATTTTGGGATTTCTTTCATCCAGCATCCTACCTTATTTCCCAATCTGTACAGGTTTGTCAAAATAAATTGTGAAATTTTTAGAAAAGTGTAGGTGCCCCATGTTCTTAGATTATGTTTTAGAAGAGTTTAATTCTGTTGCTTTTAATGGATGCTCAATAAATATTTGTTTAATCTCATGAATGAAGTTAATGTGTCAGATATAAAAAGATGAAGACAGAAGTAAAGTCCTGTCTCACTTTAGGTAGATCCATCCCCATGACCCCAAAAGACCATGGTTCTATAAATTTAATTCTGAACTGTACAGTAAATGTTGGCCCAACATCATCACATAATTTTGTGACTAATTCATTAAGAGTGACCCAAGGTTTTAGACCTGCACTAACCAATATGGTGGCTGCTAGCCACATTAGATATTTAATCATAAATTTTAATTAAATTTTATTCACTCATTATAGCCACACATAGCTAGTGGCTACAGTATTGGACAGTGCAGATATATATAATTATATATATTAGGTATAATAGAACATTTCTATCATAAAATTCTACCAGACAGCTCTGTTCTAGGTATCTTAAGTTGAATGTACATGTTCTGTATTTCTCTGAAAGTGCATATGGTACAGGATAACAGAAATGTAGGGAAGTTCCAGACATCACCCTGCACACAGTGACATGCTCAGGGATAGAGCTGCAGCTGGAGTATTAAGCTGGCAATGGTTTTGATGGTGAAGCACCCATTCCCTTGCTCACTTGGGCTGCAGCAACTTGCTATCAGGAACTGGTAAAAGCTGCAATTTTACCTCTTGCCTCTCGCTTCAACTCAAACATTCCCCTCTTCCATAATTGCTTCCATGATTTCTCAAACAAGGTGAGAAATCCATTTTTCTAAAACTTTCAAAGGTTTTGTCTTAGTGACCTTAATGTCATCTACTTTATTATTATTATTATTACTATTATTATTATTATTATTATTATTTTATGTGTCTGTCGTTCTAGACTGTCTCTTGAGGTCAAGGGCCATATCTGGTTCATCTCTGTTTCCCCCACAACACTTGGCACACTAGCTTCCACAAAGTCAACAAATATGTACTAGCTAAACTAGACTTGCTGGTGTTGGACAGAATATTTCTTTCAGAAATTCAACATCAATCAAAACTAATGAGATACCACTTCACACACATTAGGATAACTAAAATAATACAGACAATAACAAGGGTTGGTGAAGATGTGAAAAACTGTAACATTGCTGGTGGAATGTGAAATGCTGCAGACACTTTAGGAAACAGTCTGGCAGCTCCTCAAAATGTTAAATATGGATTATATGACCCAGCAGAAATCGGAAGAGTGTATTGGGAGGAATAGCTGAATAGGCAAGAATTTTTTTTTTTTATTTCAGCACTTCAACTAACCAAATATCTCTAAGCCTCTTTCTTAATCTTGTCATATTTTTTATAACAGCTTTATTGAGATAGAATTCACATACATATAAACTCATTTAAAAAGTATACAAATCAGAAGTTTTAAGTAAATGTACTCACAGTTGTGTGAACATCACCATTCTCTAATTTTAAAACATTTTATCACCCCAAGTATAATATAACCTGTACACAACAGCAGACACTCTGCTCTCTGCCCTTCTCCACTTGGTACCACTAATCTATTTTCTGTACCTATTTTGGACATGTCATATACATGGATTCATACAAAATGTGGTCTTTTGTGACTAGATTCTTAAACTTAGCATAATGTTTTCAAGGTTCATCCATGTTGTAGCATGTATCTATACTGCGTTACTTTTGATTGCTGAATAATATTCCATTATATGTATATACCACATTTTTGTTTAGTCATTCATCAGTTAATGGATGTATAGGTTTGTAACACTTTCTGGCTATTATGAATAATGCTGCTATGAGCACTCATGTACAATTTTTTGTGTGGAAATGTGTTTGTGTTATCTTGTATACATACTGCTATGGTTCAAAAGTTTGTCCCTTCAAAATTCTTATGTTGAAATCCTAACCCCCAAGGCAGTAGTAATGAGGAGGTAGGGCCTTTGGGAGGTGATTAGATCATGAATGGGATTAGTGCCATTATAAAAGAGGCCTGAGAAAGCTCCCTTATCTTTCCACCATGTGAGGACGCAGCAAGAAGGTATTGTCTATGAATCTGAAAGTGGGCCCTCAACAGACACCAACTCTGTCGGCACCTTGATCTTGGACTTCCAGCCTCCAGCACTGTGAGAAGTAAATTCTTGTTGTATATAAGCTAGCCAGTTTATGGTATTTTTGTTATAGCAGTTCAAACTAATACCTAAAAATGAAACGGCTGGGTAATATAATCTATATTTAACATTTTTGAGGAGCTGCCAGTCTGTTTTCTAAAGTGTTTCACAATTCCACCAACAATGTGAGTTTTTCTACATCCTCACCAACCCTTGTTATTATCTGTATTATTTTAGTTATCCTAGTGTGTGTGTGAAGTATCTCATTATAGTTTTGATTTTCATTTTCCTAATGTTTAGTGAGACTGGCCATATATTTATACTTACTGGTCATTCATAATTGTCTTTTAAGTAATGTCTATTTGAATTATTTGCCAATTTTTTAATTAGTCTATTTGTCTTTGTTGTTTAGCCTGGATCCAAACTGCTATTAAATATATGATTTACAAATACAGTAAAATCTTGGATTGCAAGTAACATGGTTTGCGAGTGTTCTGCAAGACGAGCAAACATTCTTAATACATTTTAACATGGTAACGAGCGATGTCTTACAATTAGTTTGTTTCTGGAATGAATTATGTTCACAAACCAAGGTATTACTGTAATTTTCTACCACCCTGTGGATTGTCTCTTCACTTTCTTGAAAGTATTGTTTATATAATAAAAGTTTTTAGTTTTGATGAATTCCAATTTTTAATTTTTCCTGTCAGGAAGATGATTTATTCCTATGCTTTCCTTTAGGACTTATAATTTCAGCTCTTTTTGAGTTAATATTTGTGTATGGTGTGAGGTAAATGTTCAGCTTTATTTGTTGCATGTGGATATCTACTTCTCCCAATACAACTTGTTGAAAAAGTTTATTCTTTCTCTTGAATTGTCTTGGCACCCTTGTCGAAAATCACCTGAACTTTCTTACATGCTTTATTTCTGAACATTCAATTCTGTTCCATTGATCTATATGTCTACCCTTATGCCAGTACCACACAATCTTGATTACTATAGCTTTGTAGTAAGTCTTCAAAAATATCTTTATTAAAATATAACTAACATACAGTGTTATATTAGTTTCAGGTATGCAGTATGGTTATTCAACATATGCCTAAAAAAGTGATCACCATAAGTCCAGCAACCATCTGACACTGTACAATATTACTATCACAATATTATTGACTATAGTCCCCGTGCTGTATATGAGTATTACATCCACATGACTTAATTTGTTTTATGCCTAGAAATTTGAACCTTGTATTCCCCTTCGCATCCCACTCTTTTTTAAATTTTTCAATTACAGTTGACATTCAGTATTATATTAATGTCATGTGCATAACATAGTGGTTAGACATTTATATAATTTAAACAGTGATCCTCCTGACTAGTCTAGTACCCATCTGGGACTATACACAGTTATTAACATATTATTGACTATATTCTCTGTGCTTTACTTTACATCCCTGTGACTATTTTGTAACTACCAATTTGCACTTCTTAATGTCTTCACCTTTTCTCCCTGCCTTCCAAACCCCCTTCCATCTATCACCCCCCAAAATTTACTCATCTGACACCATACTTAGTTATTAAAGTATTATTCACTATATTCCTTATGCTATACCCTACATCTGTATGACTATAGCAACCAATTTGTATTTCTTAATCCCTTCCTCTTTCTCACCCATTCCCAACCCCCCTCCCACCTGAAAACCATCAAAATGTTTTCTGTATCTATGAGTTTGTTTCTGTTTTGTTTGTTTATTTTCTTTAGATTCCACAGTCTCGTGTAAGTGAAATCACATTGCATCTGTCTTTCACTGCCTGACATACTTCACTCAGCATAATACCCTTCAGGTCCATCCATGCCACCACAGAAGGTGAGAACCCATTCCCTTCCATGGCTGAGCAATATTCCACTGTACATATGCACAACTTACTCTTTTCCTATTCATCTATCAACAGACACCCAGGCTGCCTCCACATCTTGGCCATTGTAAACAATGCTGTAATGAACATATGGATGCACATGTGGTGTTTTGGGTTTCCTCGGATATTATCCAGAAGTGGGATTACTGGGTCCTTTTTTGTCACTTGTTATAGCCTTTGTTTTAAAGTCTCTTTTGTCTGCTATAAGTATAGCTACCACAGCTTTTTTGTTTGTTTC